TTAAAAGATGTCAACGAGGGAAGACTCGTCCATCCAGCCTGACATGTTGGAGCCAGACAACTACACCCCTCCTCCAAGTGCACAACAAAGTGCATTCAATAGCAAAAAATGTGGATTTATCAGACTACGTCCCCCCCCTCTTTTTTTTTTTACGCCAGATCTTGTTTAACCTTGAAGCTAGCAGGGTCAGGCTTGGTTAGTACTTGGATGGGAGACCACTTGAGAATACCAGGTGCCGTCCCCCCACAATGGAACATTAGCAGTGGAAAACCTTTGACCATAACAGGTCATAGGTTGTCTTCTATGAAGGATGACAAAAAATAGTGGCTTGACTAAAGAGTTTGCAGCAATTACATTATGTTAAAATAGAATGAATCATTTGAATGAAATGTAATCATTAAGAATGTTTACAAAGCACTTTTTTGGGCAACAACAACAAAAAAGACAATTTTGAGCAGAAAAGCTTTAAATTTTCATCATTTTTGCTGTTGCGAAGTAGCAATTTTTTTGTTTTGAGGTTTCCTCTTTAAAATGACATCATAGATTCCTCATTAGAATTAACTAAAAATAAGATTCAGACTGAATATCAATGAATTATCCTGATTAGGAAGACAAATTAAAGCATATTTCTGGGACATCAGGATGATCCGGGTATCAAAACGGAGCTTCAGAAGCTGGAATCTGAAAATGTGTTCAGGTCATTTTGACCAAAGTTGACTCAGTCTTCAGTTTGATGTGACGGGTCACAAATACAAAACATCTAAACTGTCACTTCTCCATCCTGTGCATCTCTTTCACCGTTGTTGACCTGATTTCAGTCACTTCGGCTGTTTTTGTGGGTAAACAAAAATCATCTGGTGGTTCACAAATTTAGTTTAAAGCCACACGAAGCACCGACGAAAACAAATTTAGTTCATGACGTTGCAATGAGGAGCTTTAAGGATGTGAGCAGGTTTGAAAAACCCTGGGACAGAAACCAGGCTCTTCGTCTAAAGCTGCTTTTATTGCCACTTTAAAGGAATTGTGTGTGTGTGTGTGTGTGTGTTTGTTCGGGGAGCTATTTCGGGTGTCGGCGTGCTGTGCCAGTGCTGATGGGATCATCCGGCAGCATCTTGGCTGTGTGTGTATTTGTTTGTGATCCTTCCCAGACGGAGCGTGCTCCACACAGCTCGCGGGTGGCTGCCGTGCTGGCACCGTGTCTGCTGGGCCTGGCGGTCCTGGCGACGCTGGGGCTGGCGCTCGCCGCAGCCAAGCTGCGAGAGAGGCGGCAGACGGAGGGAAGTTTGGGTCCGAGGCGGCTCGGGGCTCCCGGTGGTCGCGCCCCACCTGCCGAGCCGGGAAACGCTTCCATCAGCACTTTGGCAGCACGTGTGGAGCGCCTGGTGTAGTGTGAAGGAGTCGTGGGAGAGAGGGAGGAATGTGTGGAGGAGTGAGAGGGAAAAAAACAACTACACAAAGTGTGTTTTAGCTTTTTTTTTTTTTTTCCTTATTAAACATAACCCCACTGGTAATTCCCATCAAATCACCGGTGATCTCTGTCCCTCCAGCTGACCTCTGAAGATGTGACCTCTGACCTCTTGCTGCCTGTAACCCTGGCGTCTGTCGTCCTGCTGCTGGTCCTCGTCCTGACCTCCGTCGGTTTGGTGGCGGCGCTGAATCGCCGCGCCACACACGGCACCTACAGCCCCAGCCGGCAGGAGAAGGAGGGCTCCCGGGTGGAGATGTGGAGCATCACCCAGCCGCCGCCGGTGGAGAGACTCATCTGACCGTTCTGATCCGTCTGTCTGCAAACACTCACAGGAAAACTGGAAGAGTTTCTCAGCTTCACACGTCTGTTTGCTGAAAGGAAAAGAAATGAGAACAGACTTTAATTTGAAGAAAAACTCGTTATTCTGTATTGTTTGTGATCAAATCTTGGCTCACCTTTCAGTTCATCTGAATATTTTAACTTGTTCAAAAAGAAAAGGTCAGACATTTTATTTTAGCTGCAACTTTTTTACTTTTTAGCTCATTTATGTTAGAGTGAGATTTTGTTGTAGGACAATAAATAGAAATGAAAAAGCTCAGATTCAGTTTATTAACAGGATTCATTAACTCTCACATCATTACATACTTCTTTATCTTTTACTGGGATTACTTCAACATCATCTAAATTTATAAAAAACAATAAAACTCCACCTGTGTGGATTTATTTATTTTGGGGGGAAATGCAGATTTAACTTTTAAGTATAGCTCTTTACTGAACAAACAATTCTTTAACAGGCAGGTTTTAAGATTCTAATATTTTTAAGGCAGATTTGCATTTTAATTTACTCAATAACTGCTGTGACTGAATGTTTTTTTGTGTACAGTGCCACAATTATTCTGTCAATTTTTTTTACCTTGATTTGAACTGAACTGTGCTGCATAAACTGATTTAATTGTAATAAATCTGAGTGTGAAGTTGTTTTTTTATTAGAAAACGTGACTTTATTGTGAGTAAACGATACTAAAACACACATTAACCATTTTAAAGAATTGACACACTTCGGGGGCCGATTTATCAACAGTTAGCAAGTATAAATCTACGTGCAAACTGGATAGCTGATTTATTAGCGGTGCACAGCGAGGACTGATGAACAGAATAGCAGCCATGTGTGCCTTCATGAATATATAGAATATATGAAGATCACACAACGTACTGGGAGGAGGAAATGCAGTTAAAATCATTTTGCACCTGTTTAGCTTCTACATTTAGCACATTTGAAAAGCAGGTGCAAACTGGCTGCAGATGTTTTTATCCCCTCTGCCCCATGTGTGCAGAGGTGTAAAGTATCTGTACTTTGCTTGAGTTATTATTTTTCAGCCAACTTTTTGATTCTACCCCTTTTGTTTTTTTTTAAATAGTAAGAAGTAGAAAGTTGTTATTTTGCATTTCTTTTTGCTTTATTTTAAAAAAAAGTATTTAAAATTTGCCTCCTGGATAGAGTGAATTTGATAGTGGTTGGATGAGAAGTATAAATACACACGGTCCTGATGTCCTATTTGTACGATCCATCACACCTGTACGAGGCAGATCATGTCACGCTCCAGCAGAACATGGCTGTGTATCAATTCATGCGCTGCATCCTCATGACTACGTAGCCCACCTGGGCCACACACTTCCCAGTCCGGGTAGGCTGCATAAAACTGCTGTGAAATGAGACAGTCTAGACTTCACTTGACGTATGTTAGCACTCCCACATGCCTTCAGACTTAAAATGTGTTGGGACGTGTATTCACACGTCTTTTCACTGGAAGAAAAACTTTACAGTTAAAACGTTACACGTAAATAAATAAAAACAAACATTAATCATTTGGGTTTAGCTCCAGTATTAGTTGTATTTTATTTAATATCTTATTGCAGCATGAATTTTATCAGCTAAGTTGCCAAACTTACATATAAGAAGAAATTCTTCAGTCCATGAAGATTTTCCAAATTACGTCGACTTAGTAAAAAAAAAATTACAACTCCACCGTCTTCGTTTCTCTGTTAAGTTCTTTGACGGCGCATCGAATCCTGGGATATCCTTGACCGGGAAGGATACTCTGATGCATCCTTCATTTTCAAGATTTACTGAGCCGCGTGAAGAGTGTCACTGCATGATGCGCAGTCAGCACATTCGCTAAAAGAAATACATCTGGATCACGGGTTAACACGCTTGATTTGTTTGAGTTGTTTCCTGGAACAAAAATCCACATCTGTTACAAACATTTCCTTTTCTACGAAACATTGCAGGTGACAAAAGTCTTGAAATCAATTCCGTCATCAGTCAAGCGAAATGCTACRTGCAAAAAAAATTAAAATATAAACGGTACGGATCAGGCTTCGGGAACAGATCGGGAACAGTTACAAACCGTGACATGATGAYGTCATCACGAAACTCATTCAAAATCAAACAGCTCTATAAAACAAACAGCTCCTCAAGATCTGGACCCCTTCAAAGAGCTCTTTATCCAGTCTGCACCACCTTTGCACCGGTTACTAGTGACACACGCAGTCTTAACACACAACACACCGAATTTTAGCACAAACTACTTTTTAATTTGCCAGCAGAAAAGCACATATCTGATGTTGATAAATCAGCTCCTTAGTGTTTCCTGAACAAGGACGGACCACCTCACTGGTATATTTTAGGTTTTGCTACAACATTTTCTTTACAGTAAAACCACCTAAACGGGCGTGAAGCTCAGCTGCACGTTACTGTTCTGCTGTGAAATGAATCCAGAYGTGGCAGAGCATGAAAACAGTACCGTTTATTTTCAGTTCACAGTGCATACATCGTGTGCAGTTGTACCAAAGTTCACTCATCGACAGCACATCAGATTGACCTCAGCTGTGATGAGAACATGCAAGTGATCAAAAACAATCAGTAAATGGCGTTAATCACCGTTACAACACCTGAATGTGAGACCGAAGAAAGAAACACTCAGCGTACCGCTTATTACACCGAAAACTGTCTTTTAGTAACGTTTGAGGGAATATTAATATTATTTAGTTAGATTTTTACCTCACACTTCAGTAAAAGCTGCTACATCGTTACAGTTACTGATCAGTTCTTGTTCTTCTGCTTCCTCTAAACCTTCAAATAAAAACATTTCGCCATTTAAAAGAAGTGGGACCCAAGCAGCAGCTGTTTGTGCACGTTTCTCCACAGTACATTTACAGCAGAACAAAAAAACAGCAGAAATGTCCGTTTCTCCTCATGAAAGGTGCAGCAGGTGACTTCCAACTGTGCAAAAGTCAATATGCAGCAGAGAGAGAGAATCGTACAGGACACAATGTTCAGTTCCACCATGTTAAATACTGAAATAAGATGAGTATCTACACCTGTAAAAAGAACTAAATCAGAGCGTACGACATGCAGAAACAAGCCGATAAATCTTTCTGCAGCAGGAATGGATGGCTACACGGGACATTACTCTTGATGTTCGCCTCTTCTTTTTTTTTCTTCCAAAAATAAAATCTCAAACATTCAAAGCTTAGGTGTCATCTCTTTACAATATACAACACCGATCATATATTATCCATGTAAAATATACTCAAGCTGCAGGGGGAAAAAAATACACATCTATTTGATTGAAAATAATTTCTCGTCAAAATAAAAAAATCAGCAAAAGAAACTTTTCTGAGGATTTGCGTTTTTTTTTTTGTGAATACTCAGAGGAAGTTAAACTTTTGAAAAACAAAAAAAGCACAATTTATTCAAATAATTAACTAGGAGTACAATCAAGYAYCTAATTTACAAAATAAAAAAAGGTTGAAAGACTTTTTTTTAAATACAAGCAAAAAAATAAAATAAATCAAAGTACTCACGTTTATTTCTTTGTCTTTTTTTCTGTCTGATCTGAAAGCCAACATGTCGCTCTGAGGTTAAAACTACATTTCTGTACCTYGTCAGGACTCTACTCTTACAGTTTAAGGCACTCTCCATCACCTCGSCTCATTTTATTCAGGGACTTACAGTCATTAGATTTACTGCTCAAACAAGCTGACCTCTTAAAAGTTTTCTAAATATTTGCATAGTATACGAGTTTATTAAAGTGTTTACAGTGACTCAGGCCAGATTAGAGAGCTTTTTTCCTTCCCCTCTCTTTTTTTTTTCTTTGTGGGAATTTCCAGGACTGATTCTTGAGCTCAGAATAACGCCAAACATTTTACGAGCGAATCGTTAATGCAGAGCAGCGCCTGAAAAAAAAAAAGTGGAGAAATGGTTGCAGTTAAAGTGCCACACTGACTGGCGTCTGGCGTAAATCAAAAGAACAACAAACCATAAATGTACCAATCCAAGAACRTAAAACTGGATTATTCTTCCCCCTCTCTGGGTTTGTGGTGATGCAGAGGACGACGTGAAGCGGACTTCTCTCCACAGGAGAGCCTCTTATAAAAATACTTTAAACTCTTTACATCCAACACAGTGATTCTGAGCTGCAGAATATTGCTTCGTTACAGTACAATCATCAACCGCTGCGTTACCTTACAGCACCGCTCTTCTAGTCAGACTGAGGAGGTTTTCCTCTGACAGACACAGACAGAAAAATAAAGACTGAGTTATAACTGTGATGTCAACAAATCCCACAAAAAGAACAAAGATACTAAAAAAAAAAAAAACATTTCTTCCTCTTATAAATTCAGCTCTTCAGAAGAAGCAAACTTCTCAGAGACAAAGTGCCCCAGAGAGGTTAGACAGGCTCATCTGGTCCTTTTATGGGATCTGTTGATCACTATCCTTCAAACAACTACTCTTATTTTGAAAGGTCGAATCCAGAGTCAGACTAGTAGGGGTCTCTGCAAGCAGGGGTCTCTGCAGACGAGTGGGCGTGTCCCAACGAAAGGCGATTCTAAAGCGACACACCTGATTTGACGGACTTTTTAAAGGGGACACACCTGACTGGACAAGAAAAAAAGGGGCGTTACTGTACGGCACCACTTTTTCTGGAGACCCCTACTTTGGTCACATGTCTCCTGGTTAACCTTAGTGTTGGGGTCAGGGTCAGGCTGTATAGAGGTCAAGCAGGGTCTAAGGATACCGTCATGTAGGCCTCATAGCCCACAGTGTTTATGCTTTAGACACGCCCACTCTTGTGACACGCCCACTTTGATTCCGCAGATAACCCCTTCTCGGTCTCTACAGAAGATAGAGGGAGTTGCTTGTCTGTGTGGGCGGAGCTTGTCCCAACCGTGACTCACTGAGTCTTTTGGTCCTAAGTGTATTTGTTGGAATTCTTTGGTGTGGGCGGAGCTTGTCCTAACCGTGATTGGTCAGGTTGACTCGTCTTGTGGGTCAAGCTAAAAGATCAAGTAATAGCAATGTTAAAATGATTGTGAACATGCAAATATCATTTACTGACAAACACTTCCTGTCTCGAGTTATGACTAAAATCAATATTCATATTCACAAATATTCAAATATCGATCATTTTGCAGGCGGGTTAGGACTGTTTTGACCAAGACAAATTGGTACATGTCCCTCCACATATACGACATTAAAAAGTTCTTGTGGCACCTTCCTGTCTCAAGTTAGGACTAAACTTAATATTTATATTTAAAAACATAGGTTTTTCTGGCTGTTTTGACCCAGTTACACTACCTCACCCCACCCAGAATAGTCAATTCGACCAGTCAGGACTTTAACAAACTCCTCCTACAAAGCAAGAAAGTCCCACTTAGTGACTGCAGAGACCTCCTTCCTGAGTCACACGAACTGAACTCTGACTCTTACTGGTCATTTGTTCTAATTATTCTATTTGCTTCTTATCAAAGTGACACGAGTTTCCTGAGAAACCTAAAAGCAGGAGCAAACAAAGCGAGGCCTCTTCTAACGTGAAATGGAGACAGTAAAGCTCTTCTCCTCTGCTGTGTTTCAGGTGTGAGTCTGAACGCAGAGGAGCCACAGTCGTACAGATTAAGACATCAAATCAAATCACAGTTTGTTTTAAGGCGTTATGATAAAAATCATTAATCAAACAGAGAACGAATGTCTAAAGGCCTGCTGGGACTCTGTAAAATCCTGTCAGGTAGTAAGAACTGAGTATTTTTTACCGAAATCAACAAGTGCAAACTGATTATTTGATCAGAGGAGGTGGTTAGTTGCGATTTTGTCCCTTTTTATTTTATTTTTTTACAATAAACTGGCTCTTGTCTAAAATCTTCTAAGCTGAAGTGTTCAGATTATAAACATACAAATAAAAATAAAAAAACTGAAAGTACCAGAAAAAAAATTCCCTCTTTTTAAATATTTTTCTTCTAAGTTCCTTTCTAGGATTGGTAAACTGGTAAGAAATATGTATTATTAAACCCCAGAAAGCAACATCTTTAGTTTTTATGAATGAGTACGGATGATGCACCTCCTGCTCTTTGTTGTGTTGGCTTTTTGTTTTGGCCTTTGTCAGATTCAGAGGATCAGAGGAGACTGGATCTCGCTCTCTGAGACAGAACCTGAATCTTTTTTTATAAAAACCTTTAGGACTGGTCCGCTGCGTGTCCCTGCACCTGGTGGGGAGGGCTGTTGGTGTGGCGGACCTGTGGGAGCGGCGGGGGGCTGTTGAGGCCTGAGTTAAAACCACACACGGACTCGATCTCATCCAGGAGGTCTAGATCTTGCCCCGCGGCGGACTTCGAGTCTTTCTCCTGACCGAGACCCCGGAGCTCCTCCTTGGGCGCCTGGTTGCTGTTCGTCGGGTTCTCCTGGCCCTCTGGTGGACCCCTGCCACCCTGCCTCTGGTGGGTCCTCTCCTGGTAGCTCTTCACCATTTCTTTGGACATCACCCTCCTCCTCTGGATGATGGCAGCCGAGGTCTGGTTCTGGGCCTCCATAAGCTCCAAGCTGCTCTGAGGGTCTGAGATGGTCCGTGGGTGACCGGTCGGGGAGGAGTTAGGGTGGAACGCTGGAGCTGGGGAGCTGTAGGTGTGCGACCGGGTGGGGGAGGGGGGTGTGACTCTCTGGGACAGCGAGGGGCAGCCGGAGAGGCGGTTCTGTCCCGGCTGTTCTGGAAGTTGAAGGTGGGGGTCCGGGTTCGACTCGGAGCCGACAGCGTTCGGGGCAGGAGGTGGAGCTGGGCTCGCCGGCCCCGCGGGACAAGCTGGAGGTTTCCTGGACACCTTCATGCTGCTCTTGGTGGGCTGTCTTCGTGGGGAGGGAGGGAGGTGTTTCCCATGGACGGCGCTGTCGTCCTGGCCCGTGTTCCAGCCGCCGTGATCACTTCCTGTCCCGCAGCTGCTCCSCTCTGAGGGTCTGGACTCACCACACGAGAGGGGCTTGGTTTTCTGAAGGTGAAAGGAGGACAGAGTCTTTATTAAAAACAAACTTATTTTTATTTTAAACACTTCAAATGTCTTATGACAACAAGAACTAAAGCTGAGATGTTTTAACTGTGGTAAACAACGTTAAAGGACGTCACAAAGACATTTTCATTCACCTTTTTTAGAGTAAAATCCTAACGCAGCTGTTGGTGCTCAGCTCGTTATGACATCATCATCCTGAGACAAAAGCAACTGCTAGCACAATGCTGCTAACGCTTCCCTATGGCAAACTTGCAGTTTTTAAAGATTTTTTTTAACTCAGGCTGCTTTTTCACTCATAAAAGTGTTCAGTCCTCGTCCCAAGACCAGGGCAGAAAAATCAGGCCTAAAAACAAACGACAGCAGAAGAACAATATCTGAAAGTCTTTTAGTCTTTCAGAAAATGAAGGTCATCCTGGAAATTCCTCATCTTTTAGCTGATGGTTTGACAATTTTCAGCCAATAGCGCGTTGGGAATCACCTTGTTGGTGAAGCTGTGTTATCCTGTGAATATTTGTAAACATCGCATTATTGAGATCCATTTACCATTCGTATGTTTTTCAGCACGTATCTTGTTCCGCAACTTTTGTACAATTTCAATCATTTATGTATCAAAATGTTCAGCTCCTTTAGTGCATTCCGTCTATAACTTTTGATCCGTAAGCAGTTTAAACTTTGAGATATTTCGCTTTTTCTGCCATTTTTTCCTCAAAATGAATGGAGCATCTTCAGCATTCTTAGAATGTTCATAAATCTTTACTGCACCTTTTACCTTTTGTTCTGGTTCATTTTTTAACTGCTTTAACTTCCACTTCCTTTGGCTTCTATTTAGTTGATTTTAGCTTTGTTCTGCATTTTGAGCTATCATTCTGATCTTTTTTGCAGTTCTGCTAATTTAAACTTTTTTGTACTTCTTTCGTCTTCCTGTTTTAAGATTTTTATGCTTCTTTCAGCTGCTTTCTGGCATGTTCAGCTGGTTTTTTGTGTGTTTTAGCTACTTTTTAGCTAATTTGAGCTCTTTTTCAGCTAATTTAACCTTTTCGCAATAATTTTAGATTCTTACTACTTAATTCAGCAACATGCTCTTACAGTTTGTGCTGTTTCAGCTTTTTCAACTACTTTTTAAAAAAATCTACTTTCAGGATAGTTTCAGATTTTTTAGCTCTTCAGCTATTTTTTTTCCAGCATTTAACATTTATAATTCTCTAGGTTTTTGTAGATTCAGCTTAGAAAATGAAAACTATTCATGGCAGGTTGTTACAGGGCTTAAAGATCCAGTTTAAAATCGGTTCTTTCCTCCTGAACAGTTCAGAAGCTTCTTGCCTAAATTATTCTTTTCCAGCAGCGACCGATGAAGAAACTTTTGCACAGATTTATTTCTTGCATACCGGAGCTTTGTAGTCCAACTCATCCATGGACCAGAAGAAGTCCAGGCTCTTGGCTGTGCTGAGTTTTCCCTCCTCCATTGACGAGGTGTTCAGAGAATCAAGGATTTCCTCCAGCAGGTTCATCTGACCCGAGCTGGACGAGTCCATCTCCAGCGCTAAAGTGTCCGAGTCGTCACTGTCCTCGGTGTATGAACGAACGTCCCCGCTGTCCTCGGAGGAGATCCTGTTTGTAACGAGTTATTAATCATCTCTCTGTTAAATCCTAACATGAGGTAAATTCTGTTTCCTTCAACTCGTGCAGTTAATGAATGTGTCCACTTGGGGGCAGTATCATCACAAGCAAACAAACAAACAAAAAGATTTTGTTTGGCCGAGCACTTCTCTGCATGAAATCAACTTTTTGATCAATAAAGCAAAGTTCTCCTGTCTTGACACGACTGTTTGTATAAAAATAAATAAAAACACCCTCAGCTACTCACTTGCTCACAGTGTCCTCATCATCGTCGAACCCATAGAGATCTCGAGGGCCCAGGCTCATCGGAGACTTGTTGAGGTTCTGCTGTTAATGAGACAAACAAAGCAAAAGGATGCAGTTACACACAGAACAACATGATAACAACTAAAAGTGGACCCGAGGGAGCTTAGTTTCAGTGCAACAATATAAAACTCCTGACAGTCCGGGGAGAGATGAGGTTCTGCAGAGAAGCAGCTTTTCATAAAACTATGATTCACCAAAAAAAAAAAAAAAAAAAAACGTCTGTGTCAGGTGGGATAACTAAAGCTTGTTTTAATGAGTCGAGACCCTGAGGGTTGAGATGAAATTTGTCAAATTTGGGTCTTTAGGGATAAAAAAATCTTTAAGATCCCCTGCAGTAATTTGCCAAACTCAGCATTCCATGTAAACTAAAAGGTACTTGAGCGATACGATGCGGGTGACTACATTGATCATGTGCGTGATGGCACCGGCGCACGTGATCGCATTTGTCACCGCGGAGGGCTGAGTGATCAGTGTGCAGCGGAGTCGTCTGACACAGTGGGTTTTAATAAGCCACCTGTGTACCGTGTTTAATGGGCGGGTTAAGGAAGAGACAGAAGCTTTACAGAGCAGGGCAGGACTCGCCCCCTGGGAGCCCAAATCTGCCCCAGGCCACTTATTAACATGCCTTCCACCACCACGCACATGTTCCTCGCACTGTGTGTTCATGTTCACTGATGTTAACACTATCTTTCATTTTCTAATTTACACTCTTTGTTTTCTTTTTCTTTTTCATCCCTCCGCTCACCTCGTGTCTGTTTGTTGCTTTAACTTATTAGGTGCGCTCATCATGACGGCACTATTAAGAATTACTTAATTACAAGCGGACACTGCAAAGTTTTCTCTGATTTTTTATTTTTTGCTTGTTCAGCTCCAGCGCTTAAATTTTTAATGCAATGTTACTCCGTGAGCTCCGAGATGCAAAAACCAAAACTCATCATCGAGAAAATTAAAAAATAAAAACTCTAAAAGTGAGCAAAATATGGGGCTTGGGTTAATAAATAAAGAAAATAATAAAGAAATTAAATAAAGAAAGTTGTGTTGTAGCGTCAAGTAAACCAAAGACT